AAAAAATGAAGAAATTGAAGCAGGGGACAATTGAAGACCGAAAAATTATAAAATCACAAAATTGAAAATCCAAACATCAAACGAAAAATTTAAAAATGAAAAATCGAGAAATTGAAAAACCAAGCATTAAAAAATCGAAACATAGAAAAATTGAAAAGTTAATAATTGTGACATTGAAAAATCAAAAAATTGAAGCAACGAAACCCCGAAAAATTGAGAAATCTGACAAAATAGAGAAAAAAAGATTGGACCACTAAAAACCAGAAAAAGTTTAAAATTGCCACTGAAACTAGATTAATTGCGTCAAAATTGAAAAAAATCGAAGAATTAAAAACGAAACAAAAAATGGAAAAATTTAAAAACTGAAAAATCGAAAAATCGAACAAATTAGAAAATACAAAAATAAAAAATGAGAATTCAAAAAATTGACAAAACCAACCATTAAAAAACCGAAACAATGAAAAATCGGAATTATTGTCAAATTGAGAAATCGGTAACAGCGATATTGAAAAATCAATAACTGAAAAAATCGAAAAATTAAAAAATCAAAACAATAAAAATCGACAATTTTGAAAACTGAAAATCGAGAATTTGAGAAATCAAAAAATTGAATAAACAAAAAATTGAAAAAAATTAAAACTGAAAAAAATTCGAAAAATTGAGACGTAGAAAAACTAAAAAAAATCGAGAAAATAAAAAATGTCCGAAAAATTCAAAAATCTAAAATCAAATAACGCAAAAATCGAAAAATTTGAAAAATTGAGAAATCTGACAAAAATAGAGAAAATGAACCAACGGACAACTGAAAATCAGAAAAAATTTAAAATTGAAAAATCCAAAAACTGAAAAAAAAAACAAAAATTAATAACGAAACAAAAAAATCGAAACAAAGGAAAAATAAAAAAAAATAAATTAGGAATTTAAAAAATAAAAACTGAGAATTCAGATAATTGACAAAACCAACCATTAAAAACCGAAACATTGAAAAATTGGAAAAAATTTCAAATTAAAAAATCGAAAAATTTAAAAACTGAAAAATCCAAAAATTAGGTAAATTGGGGAATAAGGAATTAAAAAAAAAAAAATGAAAAATCAGAATTATTGTGAAATTGAAAAATAGGTTAATAGCGATATTGAAAAATCAATAACTGAAAAAATCGAAAAATTGAAAAATCAAAACATCAAAAATCGACAATTTTGAAAACTGAAAATCCATAATTTGAGAAATCAAAAACTTGAATAAACAAAAAATTAAAAAAAATTAAAACTGAAAAAATTCGAAAAATTGAGACATGGAAAAACTAAAAAAAATGGAGAAATTGAAGCAGGGGACAACTGAAGACCGAAAAAGTAAAAAATCACAAAATTGAAAATCCAAACATCAAATAACGAAAAATTAAAAAAATGAAAAATCGAGAAATTGAAAAACCAAGCATTAAAAAATCGAAACATAGAAAAATTGAAAAGTTAATAATTGTGACATTAAAAAATCAAAAAACGAAACCCCGAAAAATAGAAACATCAAAAGTCGAAAAATTGAGAAATCTGAAAAAAATAGAGAAAAAAAGATTGGACTACTAAAAACCAGAAAAAGTTTAAAATTGAAATTGAAACTAGATTAATTGCGTCAAAATTGAAAAAATCGAAGAATTAAAAACGATACAAAAATTGGAAAAATTTAAAAACTGAAAAATCGCAAAATTGAATAAATTAGGAAATACAAAAATAAAAAATGAGAATTCAAAAAATTGACAAAATCAACCATTAAAAAACCGAAACAATTAAAAATCGGAATTATTGTGAACCAGCGATATTGAAAAATCAAAACATCAAAAATCGACAATTTTGGAAACTGAAAATCGAAAATTTGAGAAATCAAAAAATTGAATAAACAAAAAATTTAAAAAAATTAAACCTGAAAAAAATTCGAAAAATTGAGATGTAGAAAAACTAAAAAAAAATCGAGAAAATGAAAAAAAAATTACCGAAAAATTCAAAAATCTAAAATCAAATAACGCAAAAATTGAGAAAGTCGAAAAATTGAGAAATCTGACAAAAATAGAGAAAATGAACCATCGGACAACTGAAAATTAGAAAAAATCCAAAAACCAAAAATATCCAAAACTTAATAACGAAACAAAAAAATCGAAACATTAAGGACAAATTTAAAAACCGAAAAATTTGATTAATTGGGAAACAGAATTTAAAAAAAAAAAAAATGAAAATCCGAAAAATTTGGAAAACCAGCCATTAAAACCGAAATATTGAAAAATTGAAAAAAATTTACATTCAAAAACTGAGAAAGCCAATACTGAAAAATCGAAAAATTTAAAAACTAAAAACTGCAAAAACGAGAAGTCGAAAGCTGAAAAGATAGAGGAAATGGAACATCAGTTGATTGAGAAATCGAAAAATAAAAAATGAAAAATTAAAAAATTTAAAACGAAAAACCAATTTTTAATTTTTCGTTTTTAAACTATAATTTTAAAAATAAAAAAATTGAAGAATTTAAAAATCGATTAATCGGGACGGCGAAGAATCAAAACTTGAATAAATCGAAAAACTGAAAAAAACAAAACATTAAAAAATCGAAAAACAAAAATATCTGGTAATTCAAAAAACAAAAAATATCAAAAACGAGGATAATGTTAACACTGAAATATCAAAAAATTGAGAATTGAAAAATCGAAAAAGTGGAAAAAATAGGGAAATTTAAGAATCGGTAAAAATTCGACAACTTGAACACCGAAAAATTAAATATCTAGAAATTAAAAAAGCGAAAAATTGAAAAAACGTTGAAACATCGTTACTGAAAAATTAAACCTAAAAATTGAAAAATCGCAAAACTGAAAAACAATAGAAAATAAAAAAATTAAAATTGAAACGAAAAATTTTAAGAACGAAACACTGAAAATCGAGATATTGAGAAATCAAAAAATTTAATAAACAGAAAATTATAACACTGAAACATTGAAAAATTGAATGAAAAAAGCAAGCATTAAAAAATCGATGGTCAGGAAAATTGGAATAAAATAAAAACAGAAAAAATTCGAGAAAATTGAGACGTACAAAAGCTAAAAAAATAAAAAAATTGAAAAATAAACCGAAAAATTGAAATATCAAAAGTGGAAAATTTGAGAAATCTGACAAAACTAGAGAAAATGAAACAATGAGAATGACAATCAGAAAAAAAGTAAAAAATGAAAAATCCGAAAACTGAAAAAAATTCAGATTGAAACTTGATTAATTGTGTCAAAAATTGAAAAAATCATAAAATTAAAAACGAAACAAAGGAAAAATGTAAAAACTGAAAAATCGAAAAATTGAATAAACTGGGAAACCGAAATATTGAAAAATTGGAAAAAATTTAAAACTAAAAAATCGAAAAATTTAAAAGCTGAAAAATCCAAAAATTAAGTAAATTGGGGAACAGGAAAATAAAAAAATGACAATTCAAAAAAGCAACAAAAGGAAGCATTAATAAATCGAATAATTGAAAAATCGGAATAATTGAAAACTTGAAATTGAAAAAAATTTAAACATCAAAAATCGAAAATTTTGAAAATTGAAAATAGAGAAATTGAGAAATCGAAAACGTGAATACACAAAAAATTGGAACATTGAAAACAGAAAAAACAAACATTAAAAAATCGAAAGCACAATTGGAAAAAATTAAAACTGAAAAAATTCGAAAAATTGGAACGTAGAAAACCTCAAAAAAATTGAGAAATTGAAAAACCAAGTATTAAAAAATCGAAACATCAAAAGTCGAAAAATTGAAAAATCTGACAAAAAAAGCGAAAATGACGACTGAAAAAAAAATTAAACTAGATTAATTGCGTCAAAAATTGAAAAAATCGAAAATTTAAAAACGAAACATAAAAATGGAAAAATTTAAAAACTGAAAAATCGAAAAATTTAATAAATCGGGAAACAGAAAAATAAAAAAATGAGAAATCGAAAAATTGTAAAATTATGAAAATAATTAAAAACGAGAAATCAATATTTAATTTTTCGTTTTTAAATTATAATTTTAACAATCTAAAATTTAAAACATAAAACAGAAAAATCGATTAATTGGGACGGTAAAAATTAAAAATTGAAAAAATCGAAAAATTAAAAACGAAACACTGAAAAATCGAAACACTAAAGATAGAAAAATCGAAAAATTGAGAAATCGCAAAATTAAAAAAATTAAAAATCAGACAACTGAAAAACCAAAAAAGTTACCATTAAAAAAACAAGGAAACTGAAAAATAAAAAAAATGGAAAATCTGAAAATTTTAAAAAATAGAGAAACTGAAGAATGAAAAATTAGGAAAATTGTCACATCGGAAAACTGAAAAATTAACAATTAAAATATCTAAGAATTAACAAATTGAAAAAAAGAAAAATTGGAAAAACGAAACACTGAAAAGTCGAAACACAAAAATTGAAAAATTGAGAAATCGAAAAACAGAAAAACTTTGAGAAATTGAAAAATCGAGATAGTCAAGAAACGAAAAATCGTAATATTGAAATATGAAAAAACTGAAAAATTAAAAATCCCGAAGTTGAAAAACCAAAAATTTAAAAAATGTAAAAAATCAAAAACTGGAATCATTCAAAACAAAACAGAAATCAACAAATGGAATAATAAAAAATTCAAAAATCAGCAAAAAAAAATAAATTCAGACACCCACATTATACAGAAAGAAATATGTACGACAAAAACAATATTCTAGTTGGCGCCAGTTTGAATTTGGAGACGACGTGTTTTGTTGTGATTGGTCAACACAATTAAATATAATTATAGAGAAGTTCCCAAATTGTATGGTTATTTTTAAAAGTGCATCAGCAAAAAACCTAAATCAAAATTACATACTTTATGATTTCTTCCTATATTAGTTGCATTATTTTATTATCATTTTGGGCCAAAATTCCCTAAAATTACATACTTACCTGTCATACTAAATTCAAACGAAATTTCCCTGTAATATTACTAAACCTAAACAATTCACCTCTGTTAACAATTTGTGCGCCTGCGCCACGTCCCCCTCCGTCAACTTCCGGAAGCCCCCCGTCCTCGGACTGTCCGGCAACTTGTACAGCTTCAAAGTCCGCTGCATCGTCATGTTCCTCGAGAGGTGTGAAAACTTCACCTCGATCAACTTCTTGGGATTCAGGGACCTGTGCCAGTACCGACACGTCCCCACCGGCTTCGGCAGCACGATCCCCGCCGTGTACACCGCCTGGAACAGCCCCGTCAGATGCACCCGTCTCGTGATCTCCCGGATCAGCACCGGGGCCACCCGCTTCGACCGCAGCTTTTTGTGCACGCACAGAAAATTAATCTCCACCATTTTCTGCGTCTTCTCGTATATCTTCAACGTGGCCGGGATGGCGGAGATGAACCCCACCAGCCGGCCGCTCTTCAGCACGCGCACGCCGCAGTGCCACTCCTTCCGCCAGCCCGGGGGCTGCAGCGCCCACTTCAAGAACTCCGGCTGGTAGTCGAACCGGAACATGCAGTCGTCGTCCTCCACGTAGTTCTCGTTGAGGAGGGTGTAGAGCTCTTTGAGGACTAGAGGTTCGTTCAGGTTTAAAGTGTCCCAATGGAAGCCGTCGGGGAGGCTGTAGGGCTCCGCTCGGATCTCCGAGACCTCGCGGTCGGGCTCGATGGCCTCGTTCACGGTGATTTTCTCATCTGAAAGTCGGGTTGTAGAAAAGAAGGGGCTGAGTGCGGGGCTTACCCATTTTAGGCACAGGTTGGGTGTTCCAGAACTGGTAGGACTTGTTGAGGGCTTCTTCGGGCGTTTTGGCAGGTTTCTGGTTCATGGTTAAGGCTTCCATTGCTGCTCGTAAGCCCTGAATCGAGATGGTGTTTAGCGGTTTGGTGAAGTTTGACAAAAGCTCCGATTCCTGTTCGTTCTCTTGTTTGGCTTCTGGGTGTTTCTTTTTGTTGCGTTTCTTCGAACTGGGGAAATGAGGTGATTAAGGGCATGGCTTTGCCGGTTTGGGGGTTGTGTGGCGGTTGGGTGGGGCATGGGGAATTGCGTTTTCGGCGTCGGGAGGGATGGGTGGGAGTTTACCTTTTTGTTTGGGTGTTTGGTTCCATGCTTCCATCAGTTTGGGGCTTTTCCTCCGGCGAGTCTTTTTTGCTGGTTTTGTCCGACATGATGACAGTTGACATGTACAGAAAAAGGAACTGGCCGCTGCCAACCAAATACTTCAAATGGCACCAGTTTTGTAACGGTCGAATCGTGGTCCTAATTACCAAGTACCAGAAAAAAAATTGGTATAATAACTAAAGAATTTAGAAACAAAAAAAGTCAGAAAGGGAAATTTAAAAACGTAACAAAACAAAAAATGATGATATAACATTACAGATTTCTGTTGAGATTATCTTTTCAACTGTGTTGACTGTCACATTTCACTTACAATCAAAGTGTAAAGAGTAAGTTAAAAAAAACAGATTTTTAAAAACGCACAAGTCACACATGTAACTATGTTCAGGAAATAGTGTTCAAAGTTCAAAGACAAATGATTCATTCAAGTAGTGTATATGCAACCAAGTATACACTTAACACAGTACTCTCATTAATACTACATTAATCAAGGAGGCTAATTTGACAGCCACGTCAAAAATTCAAGTTAATTTTTTTCGAATAAACTACTTTGAATACCGAAAACGAAAAATTGAAAAATCGAAAAATTTAAAACGAGAACTCAGAAAATTGGTATAGTAAAACTGAAAAATTTAAATTGAAAACTAAAAAAATTAAAAAAAGAAAAAATGAAAAATAGAAAATTAAAAAATTAATATAACGAAAAATCGAATAATTGAATAGTCGCAAAACTCCAAAGTTTTAAAATTCAAAAATGGAAAGCTCAGGAAATTGAAAAATAAATAAATGAAAAATGAAACACCGAAAAATTGTCATCAAAAATTGAAAAATTTAGAGATTGGAAATTCGAAAAAGTCGAAAAATTATATAAACGAAAAATTGAGAAAACCAAAAATTGGGTGGAAGGTCGAAAAATTGAGACAATAAAAATTGAAAACTGAAAAAGTTAAAAAACTGAAAGAATGAAGAAACGAAAAAATGAACAATCGAAGAATTTAAGGTGGAATCTCGAAAAACTGAAACCGAAAAGCTGAAAATTAAAGATCCAGAAAATGGAAAATCGAATAAACTTAAAAAATCGAAAAATTGGAAAATCAAATAAGTGAAGAAATAAAAAAATTGAAATTCAAAAGTTAAAAAGTAGAAAAACAGAAATTCAAAAATTGAATAATTGTTAAAAAATCAAAAATTTAAAAAATTGAGAATTGAAAAAAAACAGTATAATCGAGAAATTGAGAAACTGAAAAATCAAAAAATCGAAAAATTAAAGAATTGGATAATTAAGAAACCGATAAATTGCAAAACCTGTCAAGATGAAAAGTTTAAAGAATGAGAAATCGAAAAATCAAAAACATTTTTCAGTTTTTTAACAAAAAACAAATTTATTCAAACTGAAATTCTGAAAAATCAAAAAAATTAAAAATAGAGGAACTGAAAATGGAATAATTGAGTAGTCGTAAAATTGCAAAATTTTTAAAACTATAAATACCATTGAGATATTGAAAAATCGGATAACTGAATAATCGAAAAATCAAAACTTGAAAACCATAACATCAAAAATGGAAAAATTTAGAAATTGGAAAATCGGAAAAATTGAAAAATTATAGAAACGCAAAATTTAAGATGGAAGCTCAAAAAATTGGAATCGAAAAACTGAAAAATTTGAAAAATAAAAATTTAGAAAAAAATTGAAAACTGGAAAAAATAAAAAAACTGAAAATTGAAGATCCAAAAAATGAAAAATCAAGTAAAATTAAAAAATCGAAAAATTTAAAACGAGAACTCAGAAAATTGGTACAGTAAAACTGAAAAATTTAAATTGAAAACTAAAAAAATTAAAAAAAGAAAAAATGAAAAATAGAAAATTAAAAAATTAATATAACGAAAAATCGAATAATTGAATAGTCGCAAAACTCCAAAGTTTTAAAATTCAAAAATGGAAAGCTCAGGAAATTGAAAAATAAATAAATGAAAAACGAAACACCGAAAAATTGTCATCAAAAACTGAAAAATTTAGAGATTGGAAATTCGAAAAAGTCGAAAAATTATAGAAACGAAAAATTGAGAAAACCAAAAATTTAGGGTGGAAGGTCGAAAAATTGAGACAATAAAAATTGAAAACTGAAAAAGTTAAAAAACTGAAAGAATGAAGAAACGAAAAAATGAACAATCGAAGAATTTAAGGTGGAATCTCGAAAAACTGAAACCGAAAAGCTGAAAATTATAGATCCAGAAAATGGAAAATCGAATAAACTTAAAAAATCGAAAAATTGGAAAATCAAATAAGTGAAGAAATAAAAAAATTGAAATTCAAAAGTTAAAAAGTAGAAAAACAGAAATTCAAAAATTGAATAATTGTTAAAAAATCAAAAATTTAAAAAATCTAGAGTTGAAAAAAAAAACAGTATAATCGAGAAATTGAGAAACTGAAAAATCAAAAAATCGAAAAATTAAAGAATTGGATAATTAAGAAACCGATAAATTGCAAAACCTGTCAAGATGAAAAGTTTAAAGAATGAGAACTCGAAAAATCAAAAACATTTTTCAGTTTTTTAACAAAAAACAAATTTATTCAAATTGAAATTCTGAAAAATAAAAAAAATTAAAAATAGAGGAAATGAAAAATCGAATAATTGAGTAGTCGTAAAATTGCAAAATTTTTAAAACTATAAATACCATTGAGATATTGAAAAATCGGATAATTGAATAATCGAAAAATCAAAACTTGAAAACCATAACATCAAAAATGGAAACATTTAGAAATTGGAAAATCGGAAAAATTGAAAAATTATAGAAACGCAAAATTTAAGATGGAAGCTCAAAAAATTGGAATCGAAAAACTGAAAAATTTGAAAAATAAAAATTTAGAAAAAAATTGAAAACTGGAAAAAATAAAAAAACTGAAAATTGAAGATCCAGAAAATGAAAAATCAAGTAAAATTAAAAAATCGAAAAATTTAAAACGAGAACTCAGAAAATTGGTACAGTAAAACTGAAAAATTTAAATTGAAAACTAAAAAATTTAAAAAAAGAAAAAATGAAAAATAGAAAATTAAAAAATTAATATAACGAAAAATCGAATAATTGAATAGTCGCAAAACTCCAAAATTTTAAAATTCAAAAATGGAAAGCTCAGGAAATTGAAAAATAAATAAATGAAAAACGAAACACCGGAAAATTGTCATCAAAAATTGAAAAATTTAGAGATTGGAAATTCGAAAAAGTCGAAAAATTATAGAAACGAAAAATTGAGAAAACCAAAAATTTAGGGTGGAAGGTCGAAAAATTGAGACAATAAAAACTGAAAACTGAAAAAGTTAAAAAACTGAAAGAATGAAGAAAGGAAAAAATGAACAATCGAAGAATTTAAGGCGGGATCTCCAAAAACTGAAACCGAAAAACTGAAAATTAAAGATCCAGAAAATGGAAAATCGAATAAACTTAAAAAATCGAAAAATTGGAAAATCAAATAAGTGAAGAAATAAAAAAATTGAAATTCAAAAGTTAAAAAGTAGAAAAACAGAAATTCAAAAATTGAATAATTGTTAAAAAATCAAAAATTTAAAAAATCGAGAATTGAAAAAAAAAAACAGTATAATCGAGAAATTGAGAAACTGAAAAATCAAAAAATCGAAAAATTAAAGAATTGGATAATTAAGAAACCGATAAATTGCAAAACCTGTCAAGATGAAAAGTTTAAAGAATGAGAAATCGAAAAATCAAAAACATTTTTCAGTTTTTTAACAAAAAACAAATTTATTCAAACTGAAATTCTGAAAAATCAAAAAAATTAAAAATAGAGGAACTGAAAAATGGAATAATTGAGTAGTTGTAAAATTGCAAAATTTTTAAAACTATAAATACCATTGAGATATTGAAAAATCGGATAACTGAATAATCGAAAAATCAAAACTTGAAAATCATAACATCAAAAATGGAAAAATTTAGAAATTGGAAAATCGGAAAAATTGAAAAATTATAGAAACGCAAAATTTAAGATGGAAGCTCAAAAAATTGGAATCGAAAAACTGAAAAATTTGAAAAATAAAAATTGAGAAAAAAAATTGAAAACTGGAAAAAATTAAAAAACTGAAAATTAAAGATCCAGAAAATGAAAAATCAAGTAAAATTAAAAAATCGAAAAATTGAAAAAAAGGAACTGAAGGAATAAAAAAATTGGACAATTCAAAAGTTAAAAAGCGGAAAATTTTAAAAACGGAAATTGAAAAATAGAATAATTATTGAAAAATCAAAAATTGCAAATCGGAAAATTAAAGAAATGGAAAATTGGAAAATTAAAAGTTTAGAAAGTCGAAAATCGTAAAATCGAAAATGCGAAACAATGAAAAATCGAAAAATTTTAAAAATAGAGAAATGGGAAAACTGAAAAATTTTAAAAATAGAGAAATCAAAAACTTGGACGATTATTGAAAAATCAGAAATTGAAAAATCGGTGAAACGAATACGAATTGAAAAATCGAATAATTGAAGAAACGAAAAATTGAAGTTGGAAAGTCGAAAGCTCGAAACTGAATGGGGAAATTTTAGAATTACAAAAATCAAGAATTGAAAAATTACAAAATCAAGAAGTTACAGATCGAAATAATTAAAAAATCGCACTTGAAGCTTGAAAATTAGAATCGAAAAATCGAGCACATGAAAAATTGAAAAGTCAAAGAGTCGAGAAAAACAAAAATCGAAGAAACAAAAAATTGGATAATTAAGAAATCGATAAATTCCAAAAACTGTCAAGATGAAAAATCGAAAGAATGAAAAACTGAAAAATTAAATATCTCTCAATTTTTCGCTTTTCAGTTTTTTAACAAAAAGAACAAATTTATCCAAACTGAAATTTTGAAAAATCAAAAAATTAAAAATCGAGGAATTGCAAAATTTTTAAGATTATAAAATAGAAAGATCGAAAAATTGAAAAATTGAATAACTGAGGAATTGGAAAATCAAAAATTGAAAATCATAACATCAAAAATGGAAAAATTTAGAAATTAGAAAATCGAAGAAAACGAAAAGTTGAAAATACCAAAAATTTAAGTTGGAAGCTGGAATAATTGGAATCGAAAAACTGAACATTATAGATCCAGAAAATGAAAAATCGAATAAAATAAATTGAAAAATCGAAAAAG